ACTCCAAAGATTAAATACTCAACCCGACCAATAATGGCGGTGAAAGGTTGTTCATCATCAGGTTTGGTTTTGGGGAGACATTTTTAGGTGTCTACAGAAGCCCCCACTTTGGCTGAGTTTGTAGAAACGTCAGTTTCGAAAACAATAGTCAAAGTAGTCGATAGGGACAAAGAATGATTTAAGACGTTCTGCGATCCTAAATCACTCTGTATACGCCGATACCTACAAAAAATGTTAATTCCACAAATGAGTTTGGTATTTTCCTATGCTTGAAGGAATCCACCGGATGACGTTTGTTGAAATGCTTTCCATGCTTGAGAAAAGCCAACAGATGAGTTGGGTAGCTTTCTAAGCCTGAAGAAACCTACCGGATGACACTTTCCATGCTTGAGGAAAGTCGTCATATGATTTTTGCGTTTTTCTATGCTTGACGAAATCCACCAATAATGCTTTCCATGCTTGAGGAAAGCTGACAAAGGAATTTGGCGGTTTTCTATGCTTGAAGAAATCCACCGGATAATACTTTCCATGCTTGAGGAAAGTTGACAGATGATTAGATTGCAAGTCTCTGTGTATCGAGAACCTTGCGTCATATAATGATGGTGGTTCGATTGTCCCCGAACGTGGGTTGTAGATGGTCCGCTTGTCCCCGGACGTGGGCTGTAGTTGGTTCGCTTGTCCCCAAACGTGGGTTGTAGTTGGTTCGCTTGTCCCCGAACGTGGGTTGTAGATGGTCCGCTTGTCCCCGGACGTGGGCTGTAGATGGTCCGCTTGTTCCCGGACGTGGGCTGTAGATGGTCCGCTTGTCCCCAGACGTGGGCTATAGATGGTCCGCTTGTTCCCGGACGTGGGCTGTAGATGGTCCGCTTGTCCCCGGACGTGGGTTGTAGTTGGTTCGCTTGTCCCCGAACGTGGGCTGTAGATGGTCCGCTTGTCCCCGGACGTGGGTTGTAGTTGGTTCGCTTGTCCCCGAACGGGGGCTGTAGATGAGACCTGCAAAAATAAATTTGCCAATGGACTCGTATATATTGTGACTGACTTAACCACTGACTTGACCAAGTTTGACTTGATGTGACATGACATGTGTATGACTTGTGAGTGTGTATTTATATGTGTATGTGCAGACACAAGCAAACGAAGATGCAAAAGCAAAAAATTTCCGTCAATTTTTGTCATGAGTGGAGGGTACCGACTTTCTCCCGAAAAAGAAAGATATGAAAACTGAACTTTTATTTTCGAACTTCCCTCGATGAGAAAATTTTGAAATTTTTTTTTTAAACTTCCCCAAAAGAAAAGACGCGAAAAAAAAAGGAAAGAAGTTTTGAACTTCCTCGTTGAGCAAGACAAAATGAATCGCATGGATTGGATTGCTTTTCTTGAAAGTAATGTATGCATGATGCATGTCCTTAGGCCAGGAGGCTAAGGACAATTACATCATGTGACACGATGAATGAACTTAGATCATGGAGCTAAGCATAATTTATGGTGTAAAGAAACGATCTTGAACGTCACTTAGGTCTGGAAGCTAAGCACATATACAGATGAAGTGATTATTGCATAATGAACGTTGTCTAGGTCAAGGAGCTAGGCACGATATGCTTTGTATGATTAAAAATCATTGATATATAAATGTTTCTCAGCACATTATGCGATGCATGAAACAATGAATATTGCTCAGGTCAGGAAGCTAAGCAAGTATACAATGTTTCTTCTAATGAATGTTGTCTTTAAATATGATGAAACATGCACAGTAGGGAAACAAGATTTCATGATAAAGGGTTCCTAAAGAGAAGGATGATATGGATATGGATGTGTGAGTGAAGTGTGTGAATGTGATACTAAGGCTGGCTGCAAGGGTTATGGCGATGGAAAGAGATGTGAGAAGAGTCAAAGATGATGACTCTTTAGGCTAGGTAGGCTAAATGATGTGGGTTCAAGCCCCCAATTCTAGCTCTAAATGGGTAGGGGTAAGCATTGGATATTCTTTGACTCGATCATACATGGATATGAATATGAATGTGGCCGCACCTCAATGTGAGGTTGCCTACGTATCCGTTAGGAATCAGGCCGAACGTAACTCTAACCGAACTTTGCACAAGTGTATGTACACCTCAAAGAGGTCTTTCAAGGGTTGTAATGTGGTTAAGCTGATGGTTTCAAGGCTCAAGACCCGAGAGAATCCCCAAGATGTGTAATTGTGAATTTGAAAATTTTGAATTTTGCAAGTTTATTTTCATTTTTTTTTTTGAGTTTTTTTTTTCCCATTCTTGTGAATCAATGTAGGCAATCTCAAATCATGCGTTCCATCACTCACTTAGCATTCATGTTTCTCAGGCACGGTACCAAGCACTCGATGAGAGACGCAATTTGAGACGTGTTCATATCAAAGACATTGGAACACTTGCCTTTAGACATTGTTTTATTGTTGCTTTGCTGCATTTTTTTTTTACTTGCTTTTTGAATGTTATACAATTACACACCTTCCAATCCCAGGGTTAAGTGAATGTGGGTTGAATAAAAAAAGGTCAATCATTAGACGAGGCTCAAAGTGGTTGATGAAGAAATGGATTTGTGATTGAGTGTTTAATTGGGAATGAATGGGTTGCAAAGGTACCTCAAATCATTGGTATACCTTGTGTTCGGTACGACAATTGTTTTTTTTTTTTTTTTTTTTTTTGCTAATCACATGATCGAATGTAAGAAAGAGATGCTCATTGATGGAACATGGCATATATACAAAAGGAAAAGGAGAACCTATGCTAGACTTATTAGGGGAAAGGGATGAAACAAAAGAAGAAGAAAACATGAAATCTTGGTGAGAAGCTTGCATCGTGTTTTGTCTTTATGGCTGTTTATTATGAGTTACTTCTTGCCGCCTACTGAGGAAAAAAAGTTTCTTGTTGTTGATGCTTTGATTAGAAGGAAAGAAGAAAGGAGTGACGTTCCCCTTATTCTTCCAACTATTACCTAATGATTTTAGACTCAAGTACTGTGAAAGGACGAACTCACTTAATGCATTCACTCAATACTCGAATTGGAAAGAAAGAGTGTATGAAACAAGTTTGAAAACTGATGGGAAATACTCCACTCATTCCTATTACGACGGAAAGCGATGCATGCATGGTCCTAGTATACGATCATAAACAATATAGTACATTACTCGAAGATAAAAAGCGTGCAATGACTCAACATGTGAGATTAGGTGAGTTTATTAAGACTCGTGGTATGATCGCATGGCTAGACATGAGGACGTTGTGAAAAACAAAAGACCCAATGACCAAATTGCATGGAAGACTAAAAGACAAACTAACTTGATTAATTTTGTCCAATTTTAATGTTTATGCTATTTACTAGGTGAAAACGGTCCATTGTCAATTGTTAGTCATAAATAAGATCAACCACAATCAAAGACAAAGAACACATGTTAAAGTTAGCACAAAAATCGATCACAAGAAACTAGGAAGAGGACTAGGAATCTAGAAGAGTTATGATTCATGGGTATAAGAAAAATAAATAAATAAAAATTAAAATCTATAATCCTATGTTATACGAGTTGACACAGATTAAAGGACTTGTCTAAGACTAGCTTGACACTAATTTTTTTTTTTGAAAAAAAATAAAATAAAAAAGGTAACGCTAAAAAGACACCTAAACTGGACAGGCTGTAGTATATCGGTTATAACGTTTTATCCGTGACTCTGATTGGGACGAAACCAATTCTAAATGAAAGATAAAACTCGGGGCTACAGATCCATAGGTGGCACGACACGTAACTCTTTTTAGAACTCCGTCTATGACCAAAACAAGTTGACTCTTGTGCAGTATACGAGAATAAAAAAATCCGGGTGACTCAAAAATAAAAAAATCTTTGGTTCGACTCTAATAATAAAAAAAAAGTTTGATAAGAGAAAAATAAATAAATAAATAAATAAATAAAATAAAAAGTCAAAAAAAAATGCACATATAAGCACATTGTCACGAATGATGTAATGAAGTTCGCAACCTAAAGTCAAGTTCTATGTTCGACTATGGTCAAGCTTTTGGGTGTCAAAGGGTACCATGGTTAAGAGTTTGGACGCGTTAGCAAGACAGCCTCCCTTGAGGGTGTATGCCAACGGGCGGCTCCGCGAGTTCGTGACAAAATCGAACTCTCCTCCATGGTTTGGATGGATTTAAAAACTCGGATGAACCCTTATTGCCATGAGCGTTTTCGGGTTGATAGAGCATAAATCCCCAGGGCTAGCCACATACGTAGAACACGTACTATTGTGGCAAAATAGGTAAGCTAAAATGCATATGCATATGTGACAATGCCAATTAAATCACAGGAATATTTTTCAAGAATCTTTCAAGTCTCATCCACTCATCTCAATTAAATACCGATCACGCAAATCGATAAATATACTACTACATAAACGAGCTAATGCAACCCCAAATAACCGTTGCCATAGGGAAAAAAACCGTTGATTTAGACCTATTGCTACGGTTCATAAACCGTTGCTGTTGCGGCCATTGCACTAGATATAATGCGACGGTTATTTAAGCTAATGCAACGGTCTTATAACATCTACCTTTGACCGTTGCATTAGGGTCTAATGCAATGGTCAATATGATCTAATGCAACAGTGCTTGCAATACTCCATGACCCGTTGCATTATATCTAAAGCAACACTTGTATGTTCCTAATGCAACATTCCTTGGCCTTTACTTAAACCGTTGCAGTAGGTTTACCAATCATTGTCATGTACTAATGCAACGGTTTAATTATATAGGAATAATAAATATAAATAATAGTGAAAATTAAATTAATATTAATCTTCCCTATTTATATTTAATTAAATTTATTATATGCGTATAAAATAATAAATAATAATGAAAATTAATATTAACAACCATAAAATCATCAATCTCGATTTTATATATATATTAGTCACCCAATTGTTTGGCAAAATACAAAATGATGTACTTTGTTGTACTTGTCAACTAGCTAGCCCAAAAGATAAAAGCAAGTCACAATTTACATTAGTTAGATCACAAAAACATTTACCAAAACAGATGTTTGATTTGTGATCACAATGATATTTACGGCCACAAAAACTGTCACTACACATGACAATTTATACAAGATATGCCACCACCAAAATGTTATAATTCATGCATCCTTCTCTAATCCAAATTTTCTTCAATAATCTGCAAATTCAAAATGCATAATTTAAACAGTTATAAGTATGGAATATAAGAGTCATAATAGTAAGAAACTAAGATATTTGGTATCTACATACATAATTTTAAGGTTTAGTTCTCAATTGATAGAAAAAAAAGGAACAATAGAACAACAATTCCCATGAAAAAAACATTATATGACAAATAGCTGACGAATTGAGCACAAAAAATACACAACAACTGCAAATTGTTGCTTAGCAATTACATTAAACAAAATAAAGTTGGATTATATATAGAAAGTGTTCAAAATGCATACACTCACTCCTCAATTAACTCTACTGCTATTTCGCCCAACATTTCCATGAATCAAATCACTTGTCCTGTAATAAGTTTTTTTTCCTTATTTCTCTCTTATCCTAACCAACACATAGCCTTAACATTAATGGCAAAAGTTTCTAAGCAATATAAAAATAGTATGATAAATTATCTAAAGAACAAGTACTAAGAGTAAAGTACTCTGCAATTTTAAATACAGCCACATATATGTACATTACCTGATTAGAAGGTTCTGTTCTAGGAGAAGAATGCTCATCACCAGCGGCCTCATTCACTTGTAATGTGTCGTTAGTTGCATTTCTTGGATTAGATCCTTTTTTCTTCTTCAAATCAGTCATGGTCACACCTTTCCCATAGAGGCGTACACGACCATTATGCTCTGGTTTTTTAATCACTTGATAGTATGGATCAATAGTGTTAGGGCCATGTTCATGTTCTTGAGATTCCAAAGCTTCAATTTGTTCCTATATACATGAATAATTAGAGGTTATGTATGTATAGCTTGGGTTTTCACATAAAAAAATATTAAAAAATTGGTATAGTAGTTTAAACTCACTATATTATTCTTCGTTTTCCCAAAGCTGGTTTTGTATGTCTTATTGGGATTCCTTTTCCTTGATTCTTTGTACACCTTTGCTTGAGAGGGTTCTTTTTTGTTAGGGTCCTCTTGTTTCTATACAAAGAGTTTATAAGATAGGGGCTTATGAGCTAAATGAATTTGTAAATGACTAGCTAAAAAAACATATTTAAGTGAAAATTAAATATTTGTACAAATATATACTACCAGCTTATGACGTAACCTAACCTGGCATATGATTTTGGACCCATAGTATGGATGTCTTCTGCCTTTTGACGATTCTTTTTGTTGGTCTGACTTTCTTCCTGTAAAAAAATTAACTTAATGTATATAATGCATCTACAATTTTTTTATTCGAAACACACAAAAATGTGCAACTTTTCTTGGTTCTAAAATAGATAAGTTAAACACCAAGTACCTCAGTTGTTGTCAAATGCCAATACTTCAACAGATCTTCAAAATGAGTTTTTGGCATTGTCTTTGGACGTTCTATCATTCTTTGTTCATCAGTATCAAATGCATAAAAATGCTTCTTTTTTGTCCTACACTTGTGCATACGCCAAGCATAATTGACAGTTTCCATTACCCATTTTCTTCCTTCTTAAGGAACCAAATATTTTTCCTACACAAAAAAAGCATATATATATATATATACTTGTACAAACTAATAATAATTAATTAAAGGATAATAAAATGACCTCAAAAAAAATTAAAGGATAAGAATGAAATACTTTATCGATTGACAAACCTGGACAGAATCCCATATTTTGTTATGTGTGGGAAGGCTTGGCCATTCAACATAATTAAGTGGGGCTAGTTCAGAATTTCTAGCAACAGTTCCCAAAAATTGAGTAAATTCATCGACTACTTCATCAGTAGGTCCAACTAGTTGCCCATAAATATTCAAGATAAGGTAAGGGCGTTCCTCCCTAGGACGAGCATGAACCTTAACCAATTTTGTTGGACCTCGATGCTTCTTTTTTGCAGGAACTGTGAAGGAAAAAGTTGTAAGTTAATACAATGTTGTAACAAAAAGATTTATCAAATGACAAAAAAAAACTTTCCACAATCGAAAAAAAAGTGTTGTACCTTCTTGTGGGCTTTTAGTTCTCAATCGAGAGTCCTCGTCTATCGCTTCAGTTATATCTTCAATTACATTGTTGCATCATTTACAGGTTGTTCATTTACAATGTCATTTGCACTATTAGAGATCAACTGGCCTTCATATGCCACTTCAAGGTTGGAAGTACTGTTTGTTTCATTGTCTTGAATCATATTCTCTGATTGCTTTTTCCGTAGCTCACGAAAGGCAGTCAATGATCCAGGATGACAAAAAGTCTTTTGTTGATGTTTCTTTAGTGGCTGGAGAGCTTGTTTTCCTGATAGGTTATTTCCATTTTGGTGATCTCTTTGTTGAAACTTGCCTATTGAATTGACTGGAGGTAGCTCGATATGGTTTTCCACACCATGTTTTGTGGTGTTCTGAACAAATGCAGCCATTGAGCCTGACTTGTTTGAAGATCCCTGTGTTTAATTGCACATAAGAAAATATTAGAATATGAAGGCGACTGAATAAGAGTTGGTCCAAACACTAAGGCGACTGAATAAGACCGAAGATGACACATACATACCTTGCGAGCAGCCTTTTTGGTAGCAATATCCTTGACATGTGGCAAATGTGAAAGCGGTGACATGCCTCTTGTTGACCCTCCACAAAATTTCCCACTCACAACAGCCTATAAAAATAGGTTTATTTATAATTTATATGGATAAATCAAATTAAGGGAGTTTATGACGCAATTACAATGTTACATAAGTAAAAAAAAATGGGGGGGGGGGGGGGGGGAGATGTCAAAAATAATCTGTATACATGTATTTATGAGACTAACCTTACGCTTGATTGTTATATTACCAGAGTCAATTTCATCCTGGTTACCCTCATATTCAGGTATGTACTCATCATCATTTTCATCATCTTCATCTGAAAACAAATTATTGTCATCCCATGTGCTGATAGCATTAAGGGCATATGAAAAGGCTCAAGATTTATCATAAATTTGTGATGCCAAAGTTCCTTTTCTAGAAGCTGCCATTATGTCCGCGTTACGCTTCAGCTGCTCTAGTCTTTGCCTTTCATAATCTGTTATCACTTTTTTTTGAGGGATGGATTTAGCCTTAATCCCCTTCATCTACACATATGAAGATAAATTTATCTTATTAAAAAAATATTTAAACTTGTATGTTACAAGAGAAAAAAAAAAGAACAAGCCATAAGAAAAGGAAACAACTGATAAAGTAATTTAATGTATCAATCAACATTACATATAATAATTTTTTTAAAAAAAAAAAACAAGACATAACATCCTACCATCAGAGAGTTCTGTAGGAAGGTTGTGAACAACATAAAACCAACCATTCTTGGTTAAGTCTTCCACATAGAAAACTTGTCGTGCCTGAGATGCTAAAATAAATGGTTCTCCCCCACCAATGGTTCTATTCTTATTAACCAAAATAAATTCATCATTCATTTCTGAGTAAAACCACATACATCTAAATAAGACAACGCTAAATTGGCCATGGTATGATAGCTCAATGATATCTTCTATTGAACCATAATAAGCAACACTTCCCATTATAGGATTTTGATCTTTGCTACTAGAAAAGCTAGGTGTTAGAGCGTTTAAAGTTACTCCACGGTTTTGTGATATAGAATTTGCATCACGCTTCATAGTGTGAAAGTGAAATCCATTCACAGAGTACCTAGTGTACCTTTTTGCCACATAAGAAGGACCTTTTGATAACCATTTCAAATGCTCTGGTACTACAGCACCTTGCTGAATCATGCAGGCAACTTTCTCCTTAAACCAAGCCATAAACTCCTTACTATGATTCTGAACAGTATCCCATTTTCGTTTCCTATGGGAGCTTAAAGTTGCCATGTGTTCACTGAAATATTAATAAAACTACACACATATTAGTATTGTAATTAATGATATGATGAAGATTAAGTTTATATATATGTAAATATGGTATTGAGATTTTTTTATGAATAATTTTACCTGATGTATCTCTTAACTTCCTTACAATCACAGTTGAATAACAGATATTGATGGGCTTGGTCCCATGTAATGTGATCAATCATAAATCCATATTGATTCTTCTTTGTGGGATTTCCTTTCCCCCTAGTCGGTCGACCAATATTAGGAAGGAATGGTTGTGCGGTTTTTGACTTACCACTAGTTGAAGAAGTCTTTGGTCGATTTATGTATCTAGCACAAAATCGAAGACACTCTTTAGCCCAATATGCTTCTGCCATTGAGCCCTCGGGGCAAGCTTTGTTCCGAACATCATCCTTCAACTCATGAAGAAACCTCTCAATTGCATACATGCATCTATTACAAATGGGACCTCCAAGCCTGATTTCTTCCACCAAATGAACTGGTAAATGGACCAATGGATCATTACAATGAAAAAAGCAGGTGGAAAAATCATTTCTAATTGACAAAGTGATTCAACTATCTGAGAATGAAGATTGTCAAGGTCTTTTGGGTCAATGGTTTTACCCCATATGCCTTTAAAAAACTGACAAAGTCTAATCAGCGGAGTTGCAACTTCCTTAGGTAAAGTTGCCTTTATTACAATTGGAAGCAAGTAATGCATATAAAAATGAGCATCATGGCTCTTATATCCTGTTATCTTCCCCTCATTAACTTGCACACAACGAGCAATATTAGAAGCATACCCTTGAGGCAACTTTGCATTTTTTATGGTTCGGCAAAACAAGCGCTTCTTCTCTAATGTCATCCAGAAGCGTGACCTTGGGATCTCTTCACGAAGGTCATCTATTTCAATAGGCTGAAGTTCTGGCAAAATTTTAAGAACTTTTAGATCACGACGAGCACACACATTGTCCTTGGTTTTCTTAGTTATATCTAACAATGTTCCAATGATATTATAAAATATATTTTTTTTCTATGTGCACCACGTCAAGATTATGTCGATTTGTACAATGCTTCCAATAAGGAAGGCTAAACAAAATCGACAACTTTCTCCATGGAACATCATCATCGTGCTTTTTTTTGTTCATCTTTCCAAAGTCATTGGGAAAATCTTGTAGTAAATCTTCAATTTCAGTACCTTTCAATCTAAAAGGTTCAGTTCTCTCCTCAATTTCTCCAAAAGTTCTCTTATCATGGCGCCAAGGGTGGGTTGAATCCAAAAATATACGATGATGCCAATAGCAAAATTTACGGCTATGGTCCAACCATTGTGATTCCATATCATAATGGCAGCAAGGACAAGCCCTTTTCCCCTTTGTGCTCCAACCAGACAACATTGCATAAGCTGGAAAATCACTGATCGTAGATAATAAAGCTGCATGCATCATAAACCTCTTATCAGTTGAAGCATCATATGTTTCCAGCCCAACCTCCCATAGCTCTTTTAGATCTTTGATTAGCGGTTGTAGATAGATATCAATATCATTGCCCGGGGATGAAGGGCCAGGAATAAGTAATGTTAACATTAAAAACTCGTGATTTGTAACCAGCCAGGGAGGTAAGTTATAATTTACCAAGATAACTGGCCAGGTACTATGTACGATGCTCATCGTGTGAAATGGTTAAATCCATCAGTAGCCATACATAGCCTAACATTACGTAGATCTTCAGAAAACTTTGGATACAACTTATCAAAGTCCTTCCATGCTTGACCATCAGTAGGATGCTGTAAAAGTCCATCAGTTTCACGTCCATTTGCGTGCCATGTCATGTACCTTGCTGTCTCTTGGCACATAAATAGCCTTTGCAACCTTTTATTGATGGGAAAATATCTTAGAATTTTGGCAGGTATTTTATGGACCTTTTCATTTACCTGATCCTCATCATTTGATTTCCATCTTGAAGTCTTACAAACATGGCAACTCGTTGCATTTTTATTTTCCTCCCAATACAACATGCAATAATTAGGGCATGCATCTATGTTCTCATAATCCAAGCCCAATACTTTTAAAGTATTTTTTGCATCATTAAAAGAAGAAGGTAGCTTTGTATCATCAGGCAATATATCCTTAAGAAACGCTAATAAAGCACCAACTGCAACATTGCTAACCTTATAATCACACTTGAAAATTAATAGTCGAATTGTAAAGGCAAGTTTTGTCATTTTCTTACAACCTGGATACAATTCTTGTTGCCCTTCTTCAATAAGTTTAAAAAACTTCTTTGTATCTTCATTTGGCCCCTCTTTGAAGGTATCACTTAACAAACCTTTTATGTCATCATTCACATCATTTATGTATTGGGGTACATCAGAATCAACTACTATATCTTTTCTTTCGATGTCCTCCCTTACATCTAACAATATGTCTGATCTAGGGACAAAACCGTTGCAAATCATATGCTCTTTAATAACATTCCTATTACGCCAATAACGATAGTGACAAATTTCACATGGATAACAAATTTGATCTCCTTGTGAGCTGGATGCAAAAGTCTTTTCTATATACTTATCAACTCCATTTTCATATTCATCACTCCATCTAGCAAATGTCCACCACTTTGTATTTACTTTATCCATTACTCTAGTTAAAGGCAAGAAAGAAAAAATAGATATTCTATTATTATATATAGCCAATTACAAAAATATAAATACAAAATTCATCCTACTAACGGTTATTTGCTTATCATTTTTTTATTCCAATAAATATATAATAAATATAATATAAATATAAAAAAAAACAAATGAGGGAGAACAACCACCAGAAACAATCGTATATGTACAATCATGCAATACATGAAACAATAAGAGAAAGTCACACTATGATTATAAAAGTATAAGTCAAACAAGAAGTAAGAACTAAGAGTTGGTCCAAATACTAATGCGTAATTTAATAAATCTAAAGTCAACTATTTAATTAAATACAAAATTACGCATCTAATTCCACCACAACCCAAACCTTCATGCTAGAATCAATACATAGTATATATGAAACAATAACAATACTCACATGTTACAAATAAAAGTAATATTGCATAAATGATTTGGAGAATGAATTACCAATGATACAAAATAAGGTTGCTAACCAAGACTAGTATAAGAGTATCCAATATTAACATGCAGATATATGCATAACCCAATTTCATGTCCTAAACATGATACTAATCACAAGATCAAATATATTCTATACTCCATACTATTACTCAATGGATTAAACCCAAACTATTAGATAGTTATCTAGGCCAACTGAGGGAGTGTAGTGCTGCAAATACCGAAACTGACGTACTGCTTTACTCCTAATAAAGTCAATAGAAAACATAAATTCAATATGCATGCAATTTGTTTAAAAAAATTGTCAAATTAATATATAGAATCAATAAACACTCATCGTAATTTTCGTTATCCAATTCCCCTTCCACGCAAATCAATAGAAAAAAAACCAGCTCATGGTAATTTGTTGGGCATTCGTATCCTACTAGAGTTTAAAGTCTTGTCTAAACCATTTTAAAATAAACAATAATAGGGAGGCAATAAAAATAAAATAGAAGACATAACTTGGACACCATAATTAAAAAATATAACGAAAGTAATTGATAATTCAAATAATAATTCACCTTGAATGAGTGAAATTTCTCATCCTTGATAATTTCAAATATAGAGAGACTCTTTAATGCACACCAAACTTGATAATTTGTGAGGAAAGCATTTTGCTAAAAGAAAATAAGTCTCAAATTCCCAAAGAAACTTGCAAAATAGTACAACATCAATTTGTTCAAATGAGAATAAAAGATAAGATACTATCCCACAACCTCGTCAAGGTCAGAGTACATGGATTTAATAACTCCAAGTTTCAAAAATTGAGAATTGACTAACAGTAGAAAAAATTGAGAATTGATTAAGTGTAGAAACATGCATATATACATATATAACAACAACTTGACAATTCTCAACTATTGAGGTCGTAAATAAAAAAAAATATAAAAATAAAAGAACAACAATAAGAACTAAAAAGCTCAACTTGAAAAGTCTCAAGTTTGAAGCCTACGCAAATCTTCAATACTAAAAAAAAAACCAGCCCACCATTATTTTTACTAAAATACAAACTCCACCTCTTGTATCTTTACCAAATCCTCAATTTAAAGGCTACTTTGACAATAATTCCCTAATTAATAGACCTCTAATCTACTATAATTTGGGTCAGATGTTCTTCTTATCAATAATTAAGTAATATAAAACAACAAGATTGTTTATACAGTAAAAAGAACAAAAGGTTGAAGATTTAGATAATTTTAATTAACAAAAACTTCAATCAATTGAAAATTCTAGGTCAATTGAGCATGAAAATTTGCAAACAAAATATAATGTTAAAGAAAAATTGAAACCTGCATACTTAATTAGAAGCACAGTGCAAAGAGAGTTTGAAATTACATGATAATTAATCTCCAAATGGATGCCGGAGCGCCAATGTCGACTTCGTTCTGTATTGGGGATTTTGAAAAGAGTTTGGTAATGGGAATTCTCTAGAATATAGCTGAAGTTTGGTAAATGGGAAGTACTGTACTAGAGACTTAAGAATTTGAGACTAAAAGAAATGAGGGTTTTGAAATTTTGGGGAAAAAAAGCGCACAAAAAGTCCGGGGTATAGCGCGCAACTCCAAAAATTTTATACTCCTATTTTATTTATCAGCTCTTACCATCATATAATGCAACGGTTAAAGACCTAATGCCATGGCTAGTTTTTAAACCGTTGCTAAAAACCGTAGCATTAGCCAAGACCGTTGCTACAAACGGCTGTATTATCTATAACCGTTGCAATAACTGTTGTATTAGCTTAGGTCGTTGCACTCAACTGTTGCACTACTCTTTAATCGTTGGTTAAGACCATTGCATTTGCTCGTTTATGTTGTAGTGATAATAACCAAGAATCCTCCCCAGTGGAGTCGCCAAATTGTAGGCGTCGTTCGAAGTGCGCCTACGTTAAAGCATGTGTGAATATGCTTGGCACTCATAGGAAGTGGGAATTGACATATACGATTAGGGACAAGGAAAGTAGGGAGCCGCTAACAAGTTTTTAAGGAACTTGTAAACCGTTCACGGATCATAAAAGGCAACCACGATTAAGGGACAACGATAGGCAACAACGATTGACCCGTGAAGGTTACACCCCATTCATAATCCATGAGATTACTAACTCCATATGGTTCGGAACCACGAAAGGAGGATCGGGGATGATGGTACGAAGTGATTCATGGAGTCACATTCGCCCGTATTGGCCTCTACTCGATTCTTATAGTGAAAAGTGATTCCTGCGATCTCAAAGGCATACAAGCAAAATATTCAATTCGCTCCAAACTATTATTAAGCTATATTGGTTGAATATTAATGCAACATATAATTCTAAAATACTTGTGATCACTTGAATTAAATAACTAGATTAAAAAGGAACCTAAACCGGTTGTCCAAATTATCTTATTAGGCGTGATTTTCAATTACATATTCCCTTTAAACATGCAATATGGTGATAATAACAATAATGAATAAACATTAATATTGAAAGCAATTCAACAATAATAACGTTAGTCAAATCAAATATAACATAACCTAATCATGATACTAGCAATAAGAAAATAAAATAAGAGTAATAAAATTAATTAATTACTCACATTCCGCGCGTTCCTTTAAATTGTTACATCATGAATAAATTGTTAGTAACTTCAATAAAAATATAAATCAAATGGAAATTAAATTAAATAAATGTAGATTTGATTTGGTCCAAACCCTCAGTTAATTATAACTTTCACGCCTTGGTTAAAGTATAGAAATTCGGGTATTGTATGGACTCCTTGGAGTGCTTAGGGGAAGTATATATTATGGAAGAATAGGGAGGCTAGTGTTTAGGCTAAAGAGGGAGAAGAGAATTATTTTATGATCAAGCTTGTTGATGATTGGAAAAAGGGGAGATATGACTTTTATTTATAGAGAAAAAAAAAGAAGGGTCGAAGAATTAAGAAAAGATAAGAATTCAAATCGGATAAAACTCTTGCGATAGACAACAGTTTTTGCAGTTTTTGTTTTTATCATATCTTTTGATCCAGAAATCAAAATAAGATGAATAAGATATCGTTGGAAAGCTCTTGAAGTCTACTTTCTAACCCAATTGGAATCAGAATAAAATATTTTGTAGAATAAAAGATATAGACGAAATAGTGGGACGATGTCAGTCTTGGATAGAGTTTGACATTTTATTCATATCTTTTCCGTTATAACTCGGAATTGATTTTATAATATATCATTGGAAATATAATTTCAAGGGCTATACAACCATATAAAATTCAGATAAAAAATATGAGGCACGAAATTCATATCTATCTATCTTTGAACGTCTTTCAATTCGGATAAAATAGGACTTTAAAAAAGAGAAGTTTTATTCAATTTCGAACTCTTTAATCTTATCTTTTCAAAACGGATAATTAAGATCTTTTAGAAACTTGTAGAAGCTTCCAATTAATCCTAATTGGTTTAGGAATT